CAGACTGTGCAATCTCTCCATGAGTTGGTTTTGAAACCCAGTATGGGATTCTGAGATACATTACCAAGGATATTATTACAAGATAAATCATTTGCTTCATTGAACACATACAACAATGCATATTTCCACTGAGATCAGTGACCTTTGATGTGTATCACCAGTGATCAGTCAAGTAGAAACAGTCAAAATATTTTATCAGATTTTCTCAATTTTTGCATGATATTTTCATACAGGACATCTGTTGTTCAAACTCAGGGAAGACTTTATACTGATGAATAAGGTGACCAAGTTTGATAAAGTTTGGAATAGAATTAGTAAAGTTATTATGCACACAATAACAATTATTAACGACGACAACAACAACAACGACGACGACGACGACGACAACGCCGGACAAAATTTTTCCCTTAATATACCTTTCTCTTCCATCTTTGATGGTACGGGCAAGGTAATAAAATAATGTGCAATAACATTCAGCAAAAAAGGCTGAACCATTTTTGGATACTGTAAAACCATTTATTTTCACTGACATTTTATATCACTATTTTGATGACATGTTTTGAGCATATTCACTGTGATTTAATTTCACAAACTTTTGAATTTTTTAAGGAGACAATGGTCATTATTGTTATTATACATGTTAACTTGATTTAATTTAGCAGATTATAGCCATCAGTGAGAATGAAACCCAGAGAATAATGCATTTATATTTATGACATTATATTGTATTGTTCCCTCGATAAACTGAAATGGTATGCACAGGCTGTATCACATGCAAACAATGTAACACTATAGACATGTACAAAACATGGTAATACCATGCAAGTAATAATAGATTTTCAGCTCCATGTTAATACATGTACTTATGTTTCCAAAATAGCTGCCCATCAGTTTATGAACAATGGACACACACACAAAGCACCAAAAAGTGTATACAATAAAAAGGATAGTCGCATCATGGACACATGCAGTGACTGTGATCAAGTCCATGCTAGCATAAAATGGCTCATTGTAAAATTGAATTACAACTACAACTTCCCGAACAGTGGAGATGAAAATAATGTAAAATAATTAAATAATTGGCCCAGTTGGGGAAGTATTGTATTGGCGTAAGTATACAAATGAAACGGTATAATTAATCTATATATTACCAAATCAATCCTCAGAGGAAGAGAAATATTGTCAACGTCCTTCACTGACCGGATTGGAGGGGGTGAAAATGTTCAAAAGAATGGCATTTTATGCACCCTTCAACCAATAGCATTAAGTTCTTTGTCAGTATTTTCATAAGAAAACAGCATACACCGGTAGATTTGAAAATCATAGAAATTTAGAAACAACTGATAATGTGGTAATGGAGGCATGGAGTACAAATAAGAAGTATTTAAAAGTTACAAATGCAATATGTATTATGTAACAGTGCCAACAAAAATTCAATTCACATACTAATTAAGCTAATATTAAATCATGATATCACAAGAACAAATCAATAACACTTATAAAGTCTTGTAATTGTTTAATAATATATGATTGTTGAATTTCATGTGAATCTGAGCTTTGGTTTTTGTACCATCGATGAAACAAGAATTTCATTTATATGCAAATTTACCTAATTGTTAATAGATTTTTACCAAAACCTAATCAGATCTTTCAAACAGCATATTTGCTACACATACGGACAGATAGATAAAAAGCACCACAACATAAGCTCCAGTTGACTGTCAATAAGAGCTAAAAATTACTAAAACCGTAACAGTATTATAGACAATGCGGGTCATCAAGGGAAAAAAAGGTTTTGTTTAAATTTCCAAAAGAAATTTTGATTCTTTTCATCACCCATTCCCTCTTTTTATCACAAATTCACAAAATAGACCTGTTTACAGTCTGCACTTTCTTTCAGATGAATGGGATAAAAGTTACCAATGAGTAAAAATTGGAAATTGACTAAAATTTTTCTGTTGGCTCCAAAACCAGGGTTCATTTCCTAAAATATATTAAGGATATAAGAAAAAAGTTCAGAATAATTTGGGTGAGAAAGTCTGGTGATGAAAAAATTAAACATCAATTCTGAATCTTTACTTCTCGAGGCTTCACTACAATATGCAGGCCTTCCTCCGCACGTAAGACCACATTGTACATCCTGCGAACAGGATAGTCATCTTCCACCGACAGGATAAACTTTCTAAGTACCAACGCGATAGCTGTTTTCATCTCATTCATGGCAAAGTTTTGACCAATACAGTTTCTATACAAAACAAAATCAAATTATCGATGAATCTTGGATTCATTTGACACTCAACAGAAAGGTAGATCTATGAAGACAAATTAAAAGGTATATATATGTGCCCATACCTTGGTCCAGCTGAGAACGGCAGAAAACTATAATTTTGTCTAACTTTAGTGTTTTCGGTCGTAAATCGATACGGGTTATAAACTAAAGGCTCCTCCCATAGATGGACATTATGATGTAGTCCAATAACACTTATGCCTAAAAACTGACCTGAAATGAGAAAAAAAATAGGCCAATGGCCTGTTGCTCAACGGCTATTGTACAAAAGATTAGTGCTGTATATGACAAATACCCCAAAAGGCAGTGAGTGAGACAATAAACATAATGCTAAAAGTTGAATTTTTTACAAAAATAACAGAAATATTCAATAAAATTAGAATCAAAGAGAGCTTAAAAAGAACTCCAGTGTATTGAGAGAATAACATAACATGATATTTGCAATTATCTGAATTCGTAATACTTGTATATACCAAGTTTTGTTGAATGTTTCTTGAAATAGCACCCAATAGCTTGAATTTTATGAGATATGCAAATTAGATAATTTGCATAAATTTTCACTAAAAACTAAATATATCTGGAAAATGGCCCCAACATATCTATGCACCAAGTTTTATTGAAACATATTAAATGATTCTCGAGATATCACCAAAATTGTCTTAATATTGGTATGTAAATTAGGCAATTTGCATAATTTTACACCAAAATCAATCATGTCTATAAACATTTAAATATGTTGAGTGGTTATGTTTTCATTACAATCACAATAGACCAATCAAAGAAAACTTAGAACTCCCATGTGCTATGTGAGAATGAGAAACAGTTGACAGAACAAATGGGAAACATTACATATCTCCCTGTCAGCATATAATTTCAATATGGCATCATTGTATAATCTCAACAAGAAGAAGGTTCTTTCCATTCAAAAAGTAAATGTTCTTTAAACCTCAACAAGGAAAATTAATTTCAGATTTCAACAAGGTAATGTTTAATAGGTGTCAACCTAGCCTATGTTGAGTGAAACTTCAACAAATCCATACAAAATGCATCCATGAAATGACACGTATGTAACTGTTATATGTAAGGATGTACACAACATTTAATACAATACCTGCAGGAATGGTGATACCCAGTTCTGGAAAAGTTAGTGGTTTATTGTTTCTTCTACCAACAAATGGCACAGTTGGGTGGAGTCTTAAACTTTCTTTGATACACATAGTGAGGAATGGTAGTTTGGCATAGTCATCCCTGCAATGAGAAAAGGCTAATATGAAAACAGGATTTTACTTTCTGAACTACAGCTGAAACTGAACATATTGTGTTTTGATTGCAAAACGTATACAGAGTAACTACAATTCAAATACTGAGAATATTTTTTTTATTTATTCAATTCAACATTTTTATGCCCATAATAAACTCATTTTACATACAATATTTGCTCTATTAGTAGCACATGCACTTAAATTAATTACAGATGTGTTACTAAGATGAAAAATACCATATTTGAATGATTCAATATACAAAAACAAATGAACTTTTTGTTTTACATGTGCTTCTACTGGAGCAAATACAGTATAAGAATTGAAACACAATAACCACTGCAAGATAATTATCCAAGCTGATATTGAACTATCTAATATATATTTGCCATATCTCAAAGCTAAATAAGACATTCTGTTCTGATATTTAACTTTTTATATATTTGCCATATCTCAAAGCTAAATAAGACATTCTGTTCTGATATTTAACTTTTTATATATTTGCCATATCTCAAAGCTAAATAAGACATTCTGTTCTGATATTTAACTTTTTATATATTTGCCATATCTCAAAGCTAAATAAGACATTCTGTTCTGATATTTAACTTTTTATATATTTGCCATATCTCAAACCTAAATAAGACATTCTGTTCTGATATTTAACTTTTTATATATTTGCCATATCTCAAAGCTAAATAAGACATTCTGTTCTGACATTTAACTTTTTATATATTTGCCATATCTCAAACCTAAATAAGACATTCTGTTCTGATATTTAACTTTTTATATATTTGCCATATCTCAAAGCTAAATAAGACATTCTGTTCTGATATTGAACTTTTTATATATTTGCCATATCTCAAACCTAAATAAGACATTCTGTTCTGATATTTAACTTTTTATATATTTGCCATATCTCAAAGCTATATAAGAAAGTCTCATATTTAAACAAATTTCCACGTTTTGACATTTAGTAAAAACAGGATTCCCTGAATATACACACCAATCAAGTTCATCATTTTCTTTTTTATCTAATAGTTGATCTACTTCATCTCGACACATCTGTTGGTATTTGGGATGTCTGGCTAGATTATAGAAACACCATGATATGCCACTGGCTGTCGTATCATGACCTTCAAACATGAACGTATCAACTTCATCTTGGATTTCTTTATCAGTCAGACCATTGCCATCCTCATCCTGTACATTAAAAAAATTTAGTCTAATTGTAATCTTTTTTAAACATTGAAACGGTATACCGATATGATGGATGGATGGATGGATGGATGGATGGTTGGAGGTCGGACGGATGGACGGATGGACATCGGACGGATGGATGGATAGATGGCTGGATGGATGAATGGATGAAAGGATGGAAGATTTCATGGAAATTTATGTGACAGCTGGTAGTGTGCTTTTAATGCATTACTGGTAAATGAATTTGCTTAGAATGCACAATATTTAACTTTAAATTAAATTATCAGTTTGTGTTATTTTTTTTTAAATTATTTATTAAAACTGGTAGATAAACTAAAAGCTCATATATCTGCACATACACACAAATCTAAATCAGGACAATTACCTTGGCAGCTAAAAGTATATCCAAAAAATCAATATATTTTCTTTTATTTACAGTTCCTCTTTCTACTTCATCTTTCAAAGCACTTTTTCTTTCTTTAATGACTCTTCTAGAGTGATTGTGTACATCATTTAAAGCTTTTCTCCATTTCACGCCTTCATATGTCAAGCTATACACAGTGTCACTATAGTATGGAGGGAAGTTGATTCTTTCCATTATTAAGTCAGTCAGTGTGTACACAGCCTTGATATATGGATTCACATCACTGGATAAAAAATAGATAAAAAGTCAATATTATATTTTGAGTAAATGCTTCTATCGAAGGAAGCAGTGGAAAACAGACAATTTAAATGAATGAATAAAAAAACAGACCATAAAGCACTCAGTAACCTGGATATATTTAAGTCTGTCTTTGTATCAAGATTGAATGAAGTCACCACATGTATGGTTAGTGAAAATACAACAAATACAAGTCATTGTCAATGACACGTCCCCGTTCCGTTCATATTTGAGTGACATATACATTCAAAGCAGATCATGACCGAAATGCACCTGCATATGTACAACACATTGTGCTAAATCTGAACAAAATCCATCCATGTATGACTGAGATCCGGTTCTGGAATTGTGAAAATACGTGATTTTGATGCATTTTCGGCCTTAAAATGGCCATCATTCCGCTATTGTTAAGCAGATCATGAAACAAATGCACATATCTATTTGTGACATGATGTACCATGTGTGTGTGAAGTTTGAACTTGATCAATCCAGACATGTCTTGGATACGGATCCAGAACTGAATTCTTTAACAAAATGGCCGCCAGTCGGCCATTTCGAACTTGATCCGAAAAAAAAAGACGTGCATCAAGGTCCTATTATGTTTAATGTATGTACCAAATTTGAACAAAATCCAT